TATTTTAAATTATTCTTTTATTTAACTTTTATTTAAAAAAAAAAAAAGAGAGAGGGACAGAGCAAGAGAGGGAAGGTGAGAAAGCAAGTCACCAGGTCTGGGACTTGAACTGCAATGTGGGAGTCCAGCGCTCTTAATCACCTGCCGGCCCCCACATTCCCTTTTTCACTGTAATTTTAAAATTATTTTTTGAGAGATTTTTGCTACAGGGCACATGTGCTTGCTGAAAGGGGGATGGCCACGCCGCGATCCCTTCTCCTCCATTCTGTACAGGATTGTGGGCACGCACACGTGCACCCGCTGTGAGTTTGAAGCTACCGGGTCCGGGACTCGAACCACGGTTGACTATGCAGGAATCCAGCAATGCAACCACATGCCACCTGCTGCCCCTTCACTGTCATTGTTCAGGACTTACCATCTGCTTCATGATGACCCGGTTGGCTCAGTGCTCAGGGTTACCTGGGTGACGGAGACTGTGAAGGTTCGTTGTCTTACGGGAATTTCCTGCCGTATCTGCTGGACACCCCTTTACCCTGGTCTTAAAGGTCCGCAGGCCAGCCGCCGGGTGGCAGTGGTGACGGTGCTGGACAGCCACGTGGCCAGCCACGGTTTGTGTCCCACACCTGGTGGCTTTTGCACTCCCCCTCTCTTTCTCTGGTGAGTACACAAGCCTGATAGCAATTTTTTTCTTTCAATTCTATTTATTTATTTAAATTTGACCAGAGAGGGACAGAGGGAGAGAGAGGCAAAGCAAGAAAGCAAGCCACCAGGTGTGGGACCCAAACTGCAGTCAGCCATGTGGGAACCCAGCGCCCTCAAACACCATGCCACTTGTGGGCCCCACAATTTTTTAAACAGAATTATTTATTTAATTTTGGTTATCATGATCACTATCATTTTTATATTTTAAACTTACCAGAGAGAGGTAGAGAGAGGGAAAGTGAGAAAGCAAGCCGCCAGGTCCAGGACCTGGTGTGGACAGCCATGAGGGAGTCCAGCATCTTAACACCACGGCACCTGCCGGCCCACTATGGCAAATTAAAAAAAAAAATTTATTTTATTTCTTCTTATTTTTTAATTTGATCAGAGAGACAGAGGGAGAGAGAAAGGGAAAGTGAGAAAGCAAGCTGCCAGGTCTAGGACTCAAACCATGGTCAGTCATGTGGGAGTCCAGCGCCTTATCCACCACACCACCTGCTGGCCCCCCATGGCAAATTTAAAAATAATAACAATAAATGAAATAAAATAATTTCTTATAGAGAGATTTCTTGCTATATGTTATGTGCGTTCACTACACAGAGACAGAAAGCGAGAAATCACCCCCGGGGGGATGGCCACGCCGCAATCCCGTCTCCTCCATTCTCCTCTCGGGATCTTGGGCACGCATGCACACGCGCCCGGGAAGTTTTAAGACGCCAGATCTAGGACTTGAACTATGGTTGACTATGTAGGAGTCCAGCGATGTAGCCATTATGCCATCTGCTGGTCCCAATTACACATCCACTTCCACAGCCTTGCGTTAACTATTAAATGCATTTCTTAAACATCTGTTTATTATTTGCTGTGATTTGTTGTTGTTTTTGAGAGATTTTTGCTAGAGGGTGCATGTGCCCTATAGAGACAGAAAGAAAGCGAGAAATCATCCCCTGGGGGATGGCCACGCTGTAGCCCCTTCTCCGTTCTCTGGATCTTGGCCACGCGTGTACACAGGCCCCGTGTGTTTCAAGCTCCCGGTCTGGACTGGGACTGGGACTGCGGTGGACGTGGGAGCCTCGTGCCTGAACCACCGCCGCGCTTACTGTGAAATCACTCTGATTTTCAAGGCGGTGGGTCCAGGAGCCACAGTGCACCATGGGGGAACGGGCTCCTAACCAGCATGCCACCTAGCAGCCTTTAAGTAGTTACTTCTCACAAAACGAGAATTTAAACTATCCTTAGTTTAACCTTCAAACACAGTACTATTGAAGACCGCTCTGCAGCATATAGCTTTGTGTTCTCATACAGAAGACAGTAATGGAGTCACTTTTTTGGAGGGGGGAGTGTTTTTTGTTTTTTGGTCTTTTTTTTGGCTATAGGGTGCATGCGCTTGCCAGAAAGACAGAAGCAGAGAGACAGGAAGCGAGAAATCACCCCCCAGAGGGGATGGCCACGCCGCGATCCCTTCTCCTCCATTCTCCTCTCGGGATCTTGGGCACGCACGCACACGCACCCGGCGTTTTAAGCCACCGGGTCCGGGACTCGAACCACGGTCGACTACGTGGGAGTCCAGTAACATAGCCATTACGCTAACTGCTGGTTCCACCACAAACAGTTCTAATTAAAATAGTATTTCTACACCTTAATCTATATTCCTAATTATTGAAAGAAAAAAACTGTAAAATACCAACTTAGATGATGCTGTAATAGGTTATTAAAAGTAAATAAACCCTGCTTTTCCGGTCATAGGTCACGCGACCTTGAAGAATTAGATTCTCTTGGCCTCCTTGTTGTTCGATTCTTGCCATAGGGCGCAGGGGTACCAGGAGAGACAGGCGCCGGGGCGGAAGTCTGGGCATGCGCACTGCGCCATCTCCCTTTTCTTCTTTTCGAGGTTTTTGCTGTATGGCCCGTGCGCTCACCAGAGACAGAAGGCAAGAACCAGGGGATGGCCACGCTGCAGTCCTGTTGGGGCTTGGGCATGCACCCCGGTGCTGGCATGCGCTCCAGGCTGCCGGTCCGGACTCGAACCACGGTAGCCACAAGGGAGCCCAGCGCCTTAGCCACTAC